GTGTGAGTGTGTGTGTGCGCGAGGAAAAGCTTAAGTGCACCGGTCCGTCACAGCCTCTGAGCACGATCTGTCGTGACACTCGCCGAGCGGCTGAGTGTGTGTGTGTGAATGCGTGTAAGGGGAGTAGCTCCAGCGGTTTTTTTGCCTCCGGCAGCCTCCCTAATGATCAGTCTGGCCATATGGTGTTGCCCTCTTAACACACACACACACACTGGGGAATAGGGCTGATTTAATTCGAAGCCTAGCAGGAGGCCCAAAATTGAGATTAAGGTCAGATCTCTGCTCCTCGTGAGGTGGACCGGAGGGGAAAGTCGTCCCTGAGCGCAGACTGCAGGTCGACACTCTGAAGGACTAAACTCATCACTGGAGGAAGTTTCATTTCGATTTAAAACCACATTAGAAAAAATATCACATGTTGTGGCCTCAAGATGGTTGCGAGAGATACTGGAGCTGTTTGAAAATTCAGCTGACTGCCCAGAAATCCTGCAGCCGGTGGTTCTTTATTCCAGAGACAGTAGGTAGGAAAAAAATACAGTATAGTAAAAATAAGTGACTTTATCAGAAGCATTCTTATTTTAAGTATTTTATATTAAAATAATAAAAACCTTAACAGCTGCTTCATTTCCAGATGACTTTTCTAATGCAACATATTCTTATTTACAAGATTATTTACTCATTTCCCAGAAACAAGCCTCCTTTCTTGCAGTGCAGAACTTTTAAACTGATCATTTATAATTACAAACTCTGATCAGCTGAACTTTATTATTATAAACCAACAACATTCACACGCAGCCAATCATCATCATCAGCAGCAGCTTCTGTCTGCACAGTAACATCACACACTCACACTCACACCCTCATTATCACCCAGCTTCACTGCAGCAGTAGGTGTGTGTGTGTGTGTGTGTTTACTAAACCCCAGGGCGACACTAAACTGAAACACCAAACTCAGCGGAATTAAAAAAGAGCCTCTTGATCTCATTACCAGACGCACTTAGTTCGGCAAATTTTCCACTCGGAGGACCAAACGGGATCCAGAAAAAAAAAAAACACGACGGGTGACAAAAGCTGCTGCGCCTAATCAGCTTTAGGACGGGGGGGAGGCGGGTGAGGAATCCAAACACACCCCTCGCATACACACACACACACACACACACACACACACACACACACACATTGCTGCATTTGTATTTGGTGTTTGTTGGAATAATCAAAGGTAGGGTGGAGTGTCTCCACCCTACCTTTGATTATTCAGCATGCAGCAATGTGTGTGTGTGTGT